ATAGCCTTATGGGTGGTATATGCAGCCTTACAGGTAGTATACATAGCCTTATGGGTGGTATATGCAGCCTTACAGGTAGTATACATAGCCTTATGGGTAGTATACGCAGTCTTACAGGTAGTATACATAGCCTTATGGGTAGTATACTGTGTATCCTATTGGGTAGAATACGTTGCCTTACAGGTAGTATACACAGCTTAATAGGTAGTGTACATTGCCTTACGGGTAGTATACATAGCCTTGTATGTAGTATACATAGCTATATGGGTAGTCCTGTTTCTTACCTCTGGGACCTGGGTCGCCAAGATCACCTGGAAGGCCCCGGTACCCTGGTGGACCACGAGATCCAGGATGTCCTATCACACCTGTTTCCCCAGGCTGACCAGGAGGACCAGCAGGTCCTGGGCGGCCAACCGTACCAGGAGCCAGCGGTCTCCTTAAATTAGCGGCCAGTTGTGCCATCTGATCTAAGGAGGGAAAGCAAAGACTTCAGTTCAAAAACCACGTATTTTAACCATTTATTTCGAAACGGTAAATGTCATAACAACATACATATCTTCTCGATTCCGTTGTTTACATTTTGAAGTAGGTGCAATCTTTTTTCTCACCATCAATCATGTCGCTACACAGCTCTCTGATGTGCTGTTCACTTGCCAGTTTACCCTTTAAAAAAAGTACATTTCAATGAGAAACCAAGTGCAGTTTCACAAAAATATAACAAATGTTAGGATGAGGTTATGTGGTGTATACAGTGTCATGCCTGCGAGATGTGTAACACCCAGCAGGATGTGCTTCATTATAAGTCCCCTTTAATCAGCAGGTTAATCAAAGGCACTCACAGGAACGCCGGTCTTTCCTGCAATGCCAGGCAGGCCCTGTTCCCCTTGGAAGCCCATCGTTCCCGGCTTTCCCGGCAGTCCCCTGGGGCCCATCTCACCCTGCGGTCCTACCACACCCTTTGGCCCCAGCTCGCCCTGGTTCCCTGGCTGAAGAAGGCAGCGGGAGTGCATATTAAACACAGGGGGGTCTCTATGGTTGTCCGATTAATGTAAATAATAAAGGAATCATCACTGGAAATTCTGCCGTTCCTAAATGCATTCACACAAGGTGCATGGATATTATACATATGGATATTCTCTCTAAATATCATTCATGCTCTTTGGGGCATAGACAGCAGAAACAGAATAGAGCTATAGTAAGTGATCCAGTTAAATTTGGAATGTAACCTGGAATTGTACATAATCAGTTGATGCACTTTAACACAGGAGCATGTGAAGGATGCACGTTGTTTGCTGTTTGTGGGTGTGGCCTGGGCCCACGCCAGACAGAACAGAGCACAAGGCCAGTGTACACCCTGGGTGATATGCCACTCCTGTACATGGCACATGTATGTGATGGGCAATTTAAAGTAATCAGTTCATGAAACTGTTTTTGGGGATTGTAGGAGGAAATGTACATGACACAGGAAGAATGTGCAAACTCCACACATACACAGACGGGGTGGGATTTAGTGCCCAAATCAGATGCGACTCACCCCGCCTTTCTGTCCTACGGGGCCAAATGGACCCTAAAATATTGAAAACAGGAAAAAAAAGTCATAAGTAGTAAGAGTAGCCAAAGTACTTATACACCTTTTCTATGTCCCATTTTGAGAACTCACATGTTGATAAAGTATAACATATGAATCTGTAGCCATGGATATTGCTGAAAAGTAATATACAAAATGTCAACATAAATTTTAGCAGAGCAGGACGGATGGGCATTAGCACATACCGGTTCTCCGTTCTCCCCAGGAAGACCGTCACTTCCTGCTACACCCTACGCAGCAAAACCGTAGAGGGCCAAGTGTCAGAGTGACATAAATATGAAGCCACATGATGTTTGCATGCCTACTCCCTCTGCCAGCCAGAGAAGTATCTAGTTCTTAATGAACAAGTTCATTGGGTTCTCATTATTTATTGATTCTTATCTTCCACCTACAAGGATGCTGAATTATATTACCGGTGGGATTTGTTATTGCTGTGCTGATATAGTTATGATTCTCATGCACTTTCCAATGGCCCTGAAATGCACGCATGTACTCACCATGTCTCCTTTGGGGCCTCCAGCTCCGACTGGACCCTAAGAGTAACAGAGAGAGTCCGTGAGTGAGAGGCAGGCGCGAGGTAGTGAGTGTCCTGTGATGTGTGGTCGGGCAAGGGGGGGGGGCCGTGGAGGGGCTCCGGGTGGCCAGCATAAAGACAAGCTTTGTTCTGCCACCGCTCACTGAACAGGGGGCTGCTGTTCTGCCCCCCCCATCCCCCCCCCGTCCTCCTACACGGCCGCGCTTCCTCCTGCGACAGGAGAGCAGCCAGACTGCTGGCCTTCACAGAAGCGTCGCTGTGTGCAGCATGTGGTCATGTTGCATATGCTCTTATTGCAAATGGCCTGCACAGGTGCTCAGCTACTTATGACACTCATCCGCCGTATATCTGCTCTTCTTCCGTCCCAAACTGAGCTGGACAGTCATTTCACACTCTGTGTTATTTTCCTGCTCTGTGACATTATGCTAAGAGTTAAGAGGCTGTGTTCATGGTTTTCTTTTTCCTCATAGCGATTAGCTCAGTAACTCTGGTTAATGCTGAATCACCAGAAGTTCACTGCAATGTGATTTACTGTAATTGTGCGCTATCCTCTTCAGCCACTCAAAAGCTGTGCTGCTGTATTTCCTGTCTGACTATAGTATATACAAGAGGTTGTAACAGTTTGCTGATAAGCCAATGTGACCACAAACACTAGAGTGCTAAAAGAGATTCTAAGTAACAATGGCAGTCTGGTGTGTCTGTGATCTGTCTCACTTCACTTTAGTCGCCTTTTATACCCAAGGCCGCGGTCAGACTGCTCAGATGAACAGAGGTTATTGATCTGGGAGAGGCTGTTTGATAGATACTGGCATTGTGGTCATACTGCTAACAAAAGCAAGCTTAATGGTGGGATATTTGAGAGAGTACATTGTCTTGTTCTGCATGAGGTCTTCACAACCGTGCAAGTTTGTGCATGAGTACCTCTCCACATACAAACTGCAAGAAAGTCTACCCACTATCAGGCTCAGGTAAAGCACACTTAGGTGTGGTTAGGTGTAGTCAATGGATTGTTTCAGTGTCTTTATTAGCGGTACATCAGAAAAATGGTGATGGCTTGGAAGATTAATACGATGACAAATGGCAGTAATATCATGATTTGAATAGGACGTTAATACCCTTTATAATAAAACTAAAATTACAGTCATTATAGTCATAAGTGTAACACATTATGCATTGTTCAGATCATTCAGTATGAATTTATTGCAAAGCAGGAATTTGTGTAAGAAGACCTTTGTTATAATGAGTGTAATTGTCATACTAGACTGTAACACTCACCCTCTCACCAAATTCCCCACGGATTCCGGTCGGACCAGGAAGGCCGGGTTCTCCCAGATCTCCTTTCGGCCCCTTCCAATCACAACACAGGCTGATTATTCCCTTTCAGCACTCGACACCGTACATTCACGAGGGTTACGCACCAATCGCAGCTACACAGGCTGAAGACACGGCAGTAAATGGCAGTAAAACAGCAAATGTTTCCCACACCTACAGTATTTCAGGTTGCTCTCTATAAAATAACCTGCTTCCTAATCTTATGTTCAGACAGATTTAAGTGACGCAAATTGGAAATGTTTTTGTGCTTTGTTTGAACTGACATGTACTTTAAGGATCACTAAACTGTTGACCTTGTTGCATGCATGACATACCTTTTGCTAATCAACAGGTATTTAACGAAGAAGATGCAATATTGATGGATTTATTAAGAATTACACATAAAATGTGACACACCAACCTGGAAACCCCTGACACCCGCAGCTCCAGGGGGTCCTTGCAGTCCAGTGCCCCCCTGGGAAAGAGATGACGAGACCTCAGAAGCAGAACTCGCAGTGCGCCCTCACACTTCCTCATTCTGACTCCTGAAATGTTCTCAGCGTATTTCAGTGGTGTCTGATTATGTCCAGGAAGGCTGCAGGGGCTGCACTGTTGTGTCCCAGTACTCAGTTATTATTACGTCGCCTGACATACAGCAGCCTCTATTGGCCAGTGTTTGGCAGATGTTTCTAACCAGGGAATGGCTGTCATGTTCTGCAGGGTACACAGATACTGTGAGTTTCTGTAGTGTTCCAGTAGGCAAAAGATTGCATGTAACATGAGCTTGGTTGGTCACCTGGATTTTGCACTTAAAACATTGTATGCAAGTCCAGGCAGCAAATTATTAATTCCTTGCAAATTCCAGGTAATGTTACTTGTTCTCAAGAAAAAGGTCTGATTGAAAGAGTAGGGAGTCAAATGAAAACCTTTAGACTTTATACTCCATTGTGGGACATTCCTACCACTAACACAGTTTCTAAGTTTTTAAACTCATGTGGCATAAATTGATTGATACAATATATGTATAATTCTGTTGCCATGGCCATTTAGTACAGAAATGTTTTGACAGAGGCTGACTTTGGTAACCACAGACACATTCAATACTTCCTCCAGAACAGGGGTCACCGACCTTTTCGAAACTGAGAGCTACTTCACAGCTACCGAGCCATACGAAGGGCTACCAGTTTGAAACACCCTCCTAAACTTATCTAAACTTCATGTATAATAAACATGTTTAAAATGCTTTTTTTAGATATTGTCATTTTCAAATCCATATAAATGCAAATGTGTTTAAAGAAGAATAGCAACAGGATAAAATAAAATTTTAGACGCTGCTCACTGGTGAGTTGTGCTATTTTTAGAACAGGTCCGCGGGCGACTCATGTGGTCCTTGGGGGCATCCTGGTGCCCATGGGCACCATGTTGGTGACCCCTGCTCCAGAGCAATTCTTATCCCCTGTACACCCAACCTACATAGGTCTCAGCATCAATAATCCCATTCTATAAATCTGGAGAAGCTTTATCTTTCCTCGTTCTGCAATGATAAACAAATTTCCTAGAAAATGTCTGAATATATGTGAGGGGAGAAAATGGTCTTTGAATAGATACATCTCACTTTGGCTAAATGCTTTCATCCATAGGTAATGATAAATACTGTATGTGTGTTTGAAGACCTACAGGTTTCATTTGGAAATAAGCAGCTAAGTCTCTACCTCAGATTCACTTTAAAGCACAGGCGGTAAAACAAATTTCACTGTTCATATTTGATAGTATAATACATATCAATATAATTCCATACTGAGGGTGTCCTGAAATCAAAACAAAATTTAAAAAACTGAAGGCTGAAAAAAGACATTACTTCAATTTTCCGAGGTATTCAGATGAAATGCGTACTGAAATAACACTACCCTATCAGAAGAGGTCCATGAAATTCTTCTAATCAAACATAAGATGTAATTTCACAGAAAATATGATTTGCCTTGCTGATTTAACTAAAAATGAAAATTTATTTTTTCTCTGAACAGTAATAATGAATTCTAAAAATATCTGTATTCAATTTATTCAAATGCTTTTTTTAGGTAATACACTGCAGAAAAATTGAAAGGCTTCCCTGGTTCATCACTGGCAATTCACTAGTTGAGTTAGTAGCTTTTCCCCTTTTTATGTAGCTGTATAGGAGACCCCCAGGTAATGCTGATACACACACTGGCCCGGTGTTCGACCAAAGTACTTACTGCCAGTCCTCTAGGGCCAGGCTCACCCCTCTCGCCAGGAATGCCAATATCACCCTGTGGAAGGAAACAATCCATTTTAATGGAGACAATAACAAACTGCAGGAGTGCTGCTAAGACTGCAAGCGGTTACGCTAATGTACGGTCAGCACAAATCTGTAAATAAGCTCCTGCTCAGGTACAATACACTGCTGCTGAAAAATACTGCAATAAATCAGTGCCTTTGCATTAAATTCAATAGAAAAAGGTATTTTCAAATTATTGTATTGACAAAACCATTACTTGCACACATTATTTATACATTGCAGTTTACAAAATTGCACAACAAAAGCCATAAGAAAACACCTTCAGGGGATAGAAAATTAATGTAATCAACAGCGTAGAAGGTGCATTTTTCTGCTGGGTATTCCATCACAATATGCAAAGCCACATGTCTCAGGTAAATGCTGCTTAGACCAACAAGAGCCTGGCTTACAAAGCCTGTCAGATACATACAGGAATACCTGGCTCTCCAGAAGGTCCCGCCTCTCCCATTTTCCCTTGATCACCCTGGACAAAAGAAACACTCAGGTTGAAATCCAAGCAGATACATCAGCAGAGTACTGTTACATCAGGGGGCATCACACATAGGGAATGCCCACATGCCCAGACACTGTAACAGAGTCTTTGTGGCACAATATAAGCATTGTTCTTTGTAGTCTAGTGCAGTGTCAGGATGCACTGTCACAGAAATTTTCAAGGAAGAAATGTTACTTACAACTGCACCTTTGGCCCCTTTGGAACCTGCCTTTCCCGGCAAACCCTAAAATAAAGACAAGAAACACATTTAAAGAGTTGCATAAATAAATTATCTAGAATTGTATGGTTAAGCCATAGAATTAGCTGAAAACTCTGCAAATGTTTTAGAAAAAGATGTTTTTCATTGTAGGGATGATCGATTAGAGACTTAATGTTACTTTGAAGTGGTGATTAGCATAATTAGCATGTACCCATGTGATACATGCACGAGTTTGGGCAGCACGCAGCACATGATCTACGGTGAAAGTGCGCCACACACTACCGACCTCCAGCTGCTCGACATTAAGGGCTCTCTCATTACCTTCAGTGTAGGCAGCGAGCCATTCTGCAGACCCCAATGTGACTTTACAAAAAACACAGTCCATGTGGCTGGCTTATGATTTGCGCCATAAATAGAGGGAAGGTTCACTTGACTTACAGGAAGACCATTAGGGCCTTTTTCGCCTGGAACCCCGGTTCGACCTGCGTCACCCTGCCAACGTAAAAATGGTCTCATCATTATATGCACCGTACTCAGTGTGTACAAAATAAAAGAAAAAGAAGAAGTCTATCACTTACTTTCTCTCCATCTAAGCCATGAGTGGCATCCTTCCCATCCCTGCCCGGAATTCCCTAGAAAATGAAACAGAGGCTGATTTTACTGCTGCACACACAGGAGTAGAACCATATTTAAAAATTTCCACACACACACTTACTGGTTCCCCTTTAGGTCCTAATCTTCCTGGACCTCCTTTTGGACCAATTTTACCCTGTAAAGGATAAAGGACAATTGATTATTTTTTCCTTTCTAGGAAACTGAACAGCACAGCTTTCTGAGGAAATGACCATTCAGCATCACCTTTCCAGCAGAACAATGTACATAGAGCAGAGCGCTGATCTGCTGGGCCTGTCAGAGCCACTGGAAACTGGCGTCTTACTCACAATGTCCCCCTTTGGTCCCTTGAATCCCTCAGGGCCTCTCTCTCCAACTTCACCCTGGAATTATCAAATGTTAGACACATATTTCTTTATTATTTAGAATTAAGATGAAGACAAGTCATTTTCAGAAGCAGATACCAGATGCCCGTAAAAGGGCATGGATAATCATTTATTATATGATAGCAATGGTTAAGCAACAGGTGACGGTAGCAATTAAATGGAAATGAAATATCAGTGGATTATTGGAATGGGCAAAACCTCGGAATTCCAAGGGAAGTTCATTGTAAAAGAAGGGAAAGAGAAAATATGGGTTAATTGATTACGCCAGAAGTGACATGTTACATGAGTCTGTTAGAACTGTAGAGGGGAGCTATAAGGGGCAGGGGTAGGGGTGGGGGTGGGGGGCCCAAAATCTTTAGCAACGCCCCTGTGTGAAACCAAAACCAGCATAACTTTTCAGACCACAATCCTGTTGTACTTGGTTTCTTGGCCTTGTCTATCAATGTTTAAAAAATTTGTAAAAACCTAAAAAAAGTTACGTTTAGATGCTATTTATGTTTGAGAACCTAGTTAACAGCTAGATATGGGTTACTTTCACAGATTGTTTGCAATAAGGGGCATAATGTCAAAAGGTCAAGGGGGTAAAAATTTCAATTTACAGTCAATATTAGGTGGATAATTTATTTTACAAGTAGCTAAATATTCAGTATTCAGTGAGAACTCAAGTTGAATGGAAATGTGTGCAGCTCAGTTGCAACGCTCTAACATGTTAGAGCGTTGTAAAAAAGCATGGCTAGAGTAATCACTTATTATTCCAATGCAGTGCAGCTGATATTATCCAGCATCCTAAAGTAATTCAAATGTCAAGTAGAATAGATAATGGTATTTAGAAAAGGTAAGCCTTAAGCATTATGACAGAGAATCAGTCTATTTAATAATAAGGGATCATGATTCATTTTCAAGAAACATGCAGTGTTATCATCAACCTTAATGTGTACAAAGCAGCTTGCAAAAAGGAACACTTACTGTTTTGCCAATGACACCAGCAATACCGGGCTTGCCACGGAAACCAGACGCACCCTAAAATAAATTAAATAAAAAGAGAAATGTGGGAAAAGAAATTTAATGAGAGTATGGAATCATTTAATCAGAGTATGGAATAGTCTTCCTGATAACGTAGTGCAAGCTGAATCCTTGGGTTCCTTTAAATCAGAGCTAGATAATATTTTAACAACTCTGAGCTATTAGTTAAGTTCTCCCCAAGCGAGCTCGATGGGCCGAATGGCCTCCTCTCGTTTGTATAGTTCTTATGTTCTTATGTTCTTATGTAATGTCAAACAAACACATCTATTTTGAAACACATCTATTTGATACACCTGATAATGTGTAAAAGCGTTTATTGTCAAAAGTATGGAGACTGCTCTTCTGTTCTCAGGATCCTTTAAGCTTCACGGGAAAAGTCAATAGCTAGTTCAAAGAGATGCCCCCCATGGACAGGCTGTGTGGGAGTGAAGCCGTGTCCTCTGACCTCCAAGACGTACAAATCATGGAACTCACTCTGTCACCCACTGGCCCCACGGGGCCCTGAAGTCCCCTCAGTCCACGGGGACCCTGCAAAGCAGCAGTAACAGTTTAGGTCTGGCCAGGCGTAACTTCAGTCACAGTTAAGGCACAGTTAGGGTTAGGGTTAGGAGATTCTTATAGGCTAAGGAAGTTCAGTTTATATCTGGTATGCACTGATTTTTCCATGCATGGGCATAAGCACAAACCTGGAGACCGACGGTGCCAGGAATGCCAGGTGGGCCTGGTGGCCCAGAGTCACCCTGCAGGGAAACACGCTTATTAAGTGGCAGAAGGCATCACACATTCACAATGGCTGGCTTGTGTTAAGCAGCTTTAAAAAGCTCTGCTTCTCTTTATTGGACTAGATCAATTCTTCTTCACCTAAACTAAAATATCTGAATCTGCTGCTTAAGGATTCTGGAAGGAACCCATGTACAATTTCACAAACCGATCACATAAGATCAGAAACTAATATGAGCAGAGTGGACGTGTCTCGTGACCTCTGCAATCTGACAATGGGGAACTAGAATTTATGTGTTTATTCTCACCTTCTCTCCATCTTTGCCAACCTCGCCCTTTTCACCCTTGTGACCTGTGTGACCCTGGGCAGCGCGAAGAGAGAGGCACGGTCAGCCTTACGCAGTGCAGTATGAGATATGCATGTTTGACATGAAAGCTTCTGAAAAACTCTTGGTATTTTTAAATAATGCTACTGCAGTGAGGCACCTTGAATCCTGGCATCCCAGGAGCACCAGAGGGACCTGCAGGGCAGATCGCTGGGCACTGAGAGGGCGAGAATCCAAAACAAACCCAAAACAGTGTGAACAAAGCAAGGCTCACATATTCAACTCCAATTACAAGTGTGTCCATGTGTACACATTATTAATAGAACAGGTCATGTGACCTTTCAATTATAATGCATATGTAACAAGGAAGTAGCTATCCAAATTTTAAAATAACAGAAAATCTTGCTATATATGTTTGCATAGTGTAATCTCACTGTCTCACAAATGAACACTTTTTGGAAAAATGAACAATTTCTGGAACAATGGAATTTTGAAAGTACTGGTTGATATTTTTAGCTCCTAGCTATGAATGCTTGACACAATGGATTTGAGGGACTCACCAGAACATCTCCGTTGCCATCAGGAAATGCCCCTGAAAGACCCTTAAAAACAGGACATGTGGTCTCTGTCATTGACACAAAAGACCAACAAGGCATGTCGATAGCATCTGATACACAGCATCTGCTCATTCCACCTAAAGAGTGTTCAGGCTTTAAATAAATGAAAAAGTACGTGATGAATAGCATTTTTTTCTTTGCCTGAAGTGCAAATGTCCTTGTAAAACATCGAAATAGATTGAACTATTACCCAAGTCAGTATCAGTGTTTAAATCAGAAAACAGTTGCATGATGTATAACACTGTTGATTGCTCTCTGCAAAAACATTAATAAAACCTAATAAATTCATAAAATAGGAAGAATTTATAACAATGATATAGAAACCTAAGGAATGACCAACATTATATATCTATATAGCTCACTGTGGTTTTAGTTAAATACAATACACAGTACAGTTTATATTTATTTAAATATAAACCCAGAACACATTACTCTTTTTTTATTTTGTTCATGACAACCTTTAAGGATGCCATGAATCGATTTTTTTTATTATATTACTCTATTCTGCATGCAGTACTTGGATAAGGGTTCGGTGCCAAGACTCTGCTTGTATGTGTATACAGACCACAGATCTCATCCACTCTCACTGATCTGTCAGTGCTTTTGTTGTGGTACCAGGAGGGCATGAAATTGGATATACATTCTGTTCAGAAGGACATCATTCATACATTTCTGAAGGTCTTCTTGGTAGGGCAGGCATTTTCAAGGTGACCTGCTCCTTACGTGACCATTCACTTTATAGTCCTCAGCTTATATGTTTACATCTACACCGAAAGACCACTTTTACCTTCTTCAGGGGTAGAGGTGTGTTCATAGAAGTCATTCTTCACACTGTTGAACTAAGCTATTTTTTCCACTTGAGACCTTCCTGTTAGCTTTAAGAGGTCTAGCCATTCTCCTCTGACCATGGAAATGCCATTGACTGGATATTTTTGTTTATTAAACCATTCTCTGTAAACTCTAGACACTGTTGGTCCTTGAACATCACAAGAAGGTGGTTGTTTCTGAGATCCTGGAACTACCACATCACATGTTCAAAATCAATTCTTATCATGTCATAGCTGGTCTAATGATTAATTACAGTAACTTAAGTGGAATAGTAACTGACTCTCTTGAGCTGCAGCCATACTATTTGCTGTTTGATACAGGTGTACATTATAAACTGGCCACTGAATGTATAAACATGACTTATCAACCAATAAACACCGATTGGTCATATAAGCATGAGATCGATTCAGTACTTACTGGAAGTCCATCAGGCCCTGGTGGCCCAGGAAGACCTGGAGGACCCTCAAGCCCCTAGAAGAATTAGAAAAACATATATAATTTCGGGAAAAACATCTTCATGCAGCTCATACTACTAACTCAAAGCTCATTGTCCTCTCTTTATTGCATCTCTTACCATAGGCTGTTTATTCTTTATTTTATCCATCCAATAATGCTACTTCATACTAAAGGGCACATGTGCAATCAAAAGTACATTGTTACTGTATTGTCTCTCCTTCACTCTTCAGAAACACTTTGCGAAGACAGAAACTCACCACCGGCCCCTGTGGCCCTGCTGCACCTTGGAGCCCATTCGGCCCTGAGGGCCCCTATGCAGGTCAGAGTAAATATACAGACACACATCATACTTTTGTCTGCAGAAAATTTCACTGTGAGTTTTACTATGATTAACTTTATACTCGTTGTCAATATGAGTAACTTGTAGTCCTCCTGCAATCCTCTTGTACTTACTGGGGCCCCAGGTCTCCCTCTGCCCTAAGAAAGGCAGCAAATGATGTGTTACATAGATAAGTGCTCATGCTCATTTTCACCCTAATTTAACAGCCCAGCTAATACTAAGGATTACAGTTACATGTCCACAGAGACAAAAAAATTCATTCAGTCTTTGGTACAAATACAGGAGCGTGAATATTAAACCATATAACATTCTACACCAAACTCTCCCACATTCCCCAGTGCCAGTCATGAGGTCAGTTAGGAGCACTGAGTTCTTACTACTTCATGAGACAAGATGTAGGGTACTTACTGCAGGCCCTGCTGGCCCAGGAGGTCCTAGATCTCCCTGAAAGAGTACAAAGCCAAGCTGGAAGTAGTTCAAAACCCAGAATATCCTCAAAAAAAAAGTTATATAAATGATAACAGACATCATTTCAGTTTGATAGAGGGTCTCTTAAAGAGTAAGAAAAGTTAACCTGGTAAGGATTGGATTGTTTGCAGTAAGGAGTCTAGCAGGTATTTTGAGTGTTAACTTTATCTGAGTATTAAGTTTGAATATTAGATGTTAGATGTGCAACAGACAGACAAAGAGTGTTTACTTGTGTTTTGGCTCTTTATTTCACACACAGACCTCTGCTTTTTATAAAAAGGCGGTTTGTGTTGTGGTGAGGAAGGACACAGCAAATGGGCTAAAAGTCTGTAAGAACCCAATAAGTCTACACTGATGTATTTTTAAAAGCTAATACAGACATCACTGAGTCATTATTGAGTATCATCATGACAATATTCATTGTGACTAGTAATTATTGTTCAGACAAGTGAAATTTCTGAAAATAATTCTTTTCACTTTCATTTCTGTTTAAAAGCATGTAATACATGTAACAAAAAATACTAAAATTTATTGACAAAGAAACTTCATATTTCATTCAGACTGTAATGGCTGAGCTGGGGATTCATCATCTGTTTTGAAAAGCAGAAATAAAATGCAGTGTTGTGTAGCACTGTGTGTGTGTTTATCTTTACACCAAGACATGTGTAGCATTAGTACAGGGATGCATGGATTTACTGATTATAATCCAGTCATTTTACGTTACTTATGACTATTCACTTATAAATCTTTGCTGTTCTTTGGTATTATTTAAATGTGACTGATTTTCACACTGAGTTTAGAGTGTATATGCAATTGTTGCAAACACCACTGATTTATGTGTCAATATTGTTCTACAAAGCATGATGTGAAAGTGAAATTAATTGACATTCTTCATATATCCATCCATCCATCCATCCATCCATTTTCTGTAACTTCTTGTACTATTCAGGGTCACGGGGGGTCTGGAGCCTATCCCGGAGGCTACAGGCACAAGGTAAGGAACAACCTTGGATGAAGCGCCAATCAGTCACAGGGAGGCTCTTCTTACAATGTGTCAAAAACATTTAAGTTTACCTTGAGATGAATTTCAATGTGTGGGACTTACCAAGTTTATTAAGACATTGAACAGCTCAGGGTCAGTCTCCAAACAACTTCAACCTATTAAATTTCTTACCATTATTAGCACTATAATTTCAGAAGAACAATTTCATCATTGCCAGACTTTTCTTTCTCATGGCACCCAATGTGCTCTTTCCAGGCAGGATTAAGTCATCTGCAGCCCCTGCTAGCCCAAACAATCCAATCCGATCCAAAGGCATCTAGTCCCTCATCAAAAACTATATAGAAATCATCTGGAAGTGTAATCAGATCAAGGCTGACAGGCTTGCAGATACAGAAATTTAGGCTGAAATCTGCTCTTCTCCCCCCAGACTGCTTTCACTTTACATAGATCTACATTGGAAGACCTGTTATTAAAATCTTCTCATAAAAACCAAATGTCACAAAAAAAAACTCATCACAACCCAGTAAGTTCTGTGTATTTACATAAGAAACGCCGCTCACGCAACACCCGCAGCTGTGGGTAGCACTCACGCCGATCGGAAAAAAAAAATGTAACAACAACCACCCACATAACCGTACTGGCACACAAACACTCAAATATACTTCCAAACGATTCTAATCAACTGTTTCAACAGGCGCACAGCACAGCACAGCACAGCACAGCACAGCACAAGTGCACCCACTTCACCACTCCCTCACAGTGCAGCAATACCAGCAGCCTCTACAGCAGGGGTCTCCAACTCCGGTCCTGGAGAGCTACCGTCCAGTAGGTTTTCTATCCTACCCGGCTTCTGATGAGCCACACCTGTTCTCAGGTAAATACCAGGAGCAGGTGTGGCTCATCAGAAGCCAGGTAGGATAGAAAACCTACTGGACGGTAGCTCTCCAGGACCGGAGTTGGAGACCCCTGCTCTACAGCAATCCCAGCAGCCTCTACAGTCCCCCAGCAAACCTGTGAGATCTTCATAATGCATGTGTGCACTGGGGGAGGGAACAGGGAGGGTACAATTCGTCTGGATAAAGTGGCACAGAGGACGGGCAAGACTGTCTGCCACTAACCCTTGTTCCTGGTGGCCCATCCTTCCCAGCAGGCCCATCTGGACCCGGTAAACCCTGGAAACAGAAACACACTAACCCTGTAAAATCTGTAGCCTCAAGGAAAACCCAAACAATAATTGTCACCGGTCACGAGTATCAGTTGATTCCCGAGAAATGATTCATGTCATTTATGGATGGAACTGTGGCAATAACAGGAATAACACTCTATGCTTACAGGGTCATTTTTCACTTATTGACCTTGTGTTTTATTAGGAGCCTGGAATATGTTCTTAAAGAGGCAACATAAAGTAGGAACTCACATCCACGCCGGGAAGACCAGGAAGGCCCGCACTGCCCAGGCGACCTGGAGGTCCCTGCTTCCCATTAGGTCCCTGGAACATTAAGACGGATCTTATTGATCCCAGTGGGAAATTCCGGTGCATACAGCAGCAAAAACATACATAGGTGCAGATACATATAGTAAACATGGTGCAAGCAAATTTTAAAGTGCAGAGTACACAAGTAAAATATCCTGAAACATAACCACACTGCAGCATACTTAAAAATTGTGAAGATGGTACTCACGGGTTTGCCAGGTAATCCTGGTGGGCCGGGTTTGCCCTGCAAGTAGCACCAACCAAACATTTGATGAATGTGCTTTATGGAGCTGTGATTAAAACATTTTGGCAGATGCAAGAATGACACAAATTTACCAAATTACTTGATATCTAATATTTGACAAAGACAACCACAGAGATACAGTGTAAAATGTTTGCTTATCTTCAGGTTGCCTGAATATCTCCAGGTATTTCCAGATACATGTCACTAGAAACACTTACAATGGAAGAATACATGCTAAGCTTAGCAGTGGTACAGAAAATAAAATTCTGCTTCAGTACAATCTATCTTCTTTTAACCCTAAGTATACCTCTCCAACTCTGTCCATTAATATAAATCATATTGTGTATATACAAATAAGTGCTTTGTGCCACAATTGATTATAATCTGACTGTACTAGGGGTATCATTCATTTTTAATGATGATGAAGATATAGTAGAATACTTGAAAGACAGAAAAAAGACTAATTGTATCTATAGTCTTGTTTTGGGCTTGTTGGAAGGAGAATGCTCTGTATTCCCCTATAGGCAGTTTAAAACAAACTACTGAAAATCACACACAGATGTAACAGTAAGCCTCCACATATCTGCAACAGCCACATGTCAATAGAGGGACCTTCCCAGGCATGCTGTGCTCTTAGACAGCACTAACTGGATTTGGAAGCATTTTGAGTTTAGGAAGTACAAAGAGTACAACAGTCATGAACATATTTTTGACTTGAATTATTTATTCAACAAGAGTGAAAAAAAACACAGCTATTCTCCTTATGAAGATGAGCAGTATGCAATTTCTTATAAAATGAACCTTGATCTCTATTAGATGTATGTGTATCTCTTTTATTTATGTTTGCACTTACAGAGCCAAATGTATATCAGATATAACTTGAAAATACTTGCTGTGTGCTTGAAAAGACAAAAACGGTATAAATGTGTAAAAATACATTGTTTGTTCCAATTATGTCATTCTCCTAAAGTGATTATTTGACTCAATTTAGAGCACCTGACTGTGGCTCAACAGTTAAATAAGAGGAAACTGTGTTTTGATATAAAAATTGTGTTGATGTACATAGTTCTCTGAGATTTGGTTTCATTCTTCTGCACTGTGACAATCAATGGTTGGTTAAATCAAAATGAAATGAATGAATGTTATTGACGTCACCATCCAAGCACATTTGTGGGAGGACTCTAGCATGCAAAACGAGATGGCCACAGTGTTTTTGACCATTGTATACTCACACCTGGAAATCCTACCGTGACCTCAATACTAAAAAATAAAAGTGAATCTGAAGTAGCAGAATGTGAAAATGGATTACACCTTTAAGTAATTCATTTAAGACAGGCTTCCTCAGTAAATACACAGTTTACTGAGATAGCTTTATAACTTGTCCAATTATTAAATGCTGCTACAATGAATTTGATGTTTGTAAAAATGCTAAAGGACTTATCATACATATCAACATACCACATGATGCACAAAACATCTTAGTTAATTTATAAAAAAAAAATTTACTGACCGAGATTAGCATCACCAATGGCCTTGACTGCTACATCTGTACCCAAACCTCCTAAAAGACATGGTATCTCACTCACATCAATGCCATCTTTCCCTGGTGGTCCTGCAGGTCCTGGCAGCCCGACTGGCCCCCGTGGGCTGGGTCTCTGGAACACAGTCACAAGGTGTATCCAGTATGAGAAGAAACACTCCACTGTGGAGTTTAATGCTTCACTACTAATGCTACACGATAAGAAAAACGATTCTCAATAAGATTTTTCAATAAGAAAAATAATTTAAAGCCTCTAATATTGTTTTTGGCACACGTCAATTTTTTTCAATGGGGAACTCAGTAAAAATCAAAGATTTTACTACACAAAAATCATAAACTGGGTGAACCTGGGCTTTCAGCACGCAGTAATCTGATTTAGGGACTTCTAAATGTAAAACGGTTTTGTTTATAATTCTTCAAATCATAACTCATTTGAATGAAGTATATAACATATAACAGTCATTGTCAGCAGACAGGTAATAAAAGAGAGTAAAACTAAATGCCTTTATAGAAATATCACCTGCCGGTTTAGGTTGTGGTAAAATGAAGTCTTGTTAACTACGCCATTCCCTAACCTGGTCTATGAACAAAGGTTACCATTGTGCTATGGGCGCTAATCTCAGTGCCGTGAGGCTGCATTCCGTAGCTACACCTTTTCATGATTTTATTGATTTACCCGAAAATTAATATAATAAAATTCCGCTGAATGAACAAAAATTCTACATTTTGCCAGATATATAAAAAAAATATATATTTAACATATAAGCAATTCTGAATGAAAAAAAATCTAAATCACAATAACTCCAAGTTGCGCAAATAGGCAGAACTATTACAACTCCTTATATAGTTTAGATAAATTGGCATACAGTATAATGCATCGATCAATCAATTATATTAAATAGTCATCCAGGTCATGATTTAATGGATTAATAGCGTTATCTATTGAAAATTACAGAAAATAAATTATAGCCGAAGTAATTCAATTAGTCCATTTCCATTTTAAAACACTTATTAGCCTGTAAATTCCTCAGGGTGAAACCAGCCAGGGTGACAAACACATCACATAGCCGCCCGACAAGGAAAGAAATATCTTGATGTTTCAAATACTGAAACCTTGATGCTTGTTTCGGCTTTTCAGCGACATTGATTTAAGTTATTCTCACGCCCTCCGTGTCAAAACTGCTGCTTTCGAATTCGATTCGTTTTACTGCGGAGTATTCGGCGCCTCTCACTTGGTTCAAAGTCATCACTTACCTGGGCCAAGGTAGATGTTAAAAGCTGGCCAAGAAAAAACAGCCAGAGAGCTGAGGACACAGCCATGGATGTCATCCTCCTCCGAGCTTCGGATTTATATTGTAAAAAGCGACGTTACCTTCCCTTATCGCTGAGTTAAGGCAGCGCACTGTGCGATTGCCCTGCAGCGCAGAGCTCCTGAGTGGCTTCACACTGAGCGCAGATAAACCCGGTCCTCCAGTAGAAGGGGCTGACCTCTATCCCACGCCGTCAAAAAGGGATGTCGAGGGGGGTAGGAGTAACCGAGGGACCGAAGGAAGGGGGGAGGGGCACAGGAACCCCAATTATCTGTTAACCAGGACTATCAGACTAGTCGAAGTGACATGACAGACATCCAGGAGTACTTTGACAGCCTTTCCAGAAAGCCAAAATATAACTCTGATTTCAGCTTTGTAAGTGGAAGGGAATATTTAGAAAAAACTTTCAGCCAGGAGGCCTTGCTGCTACCATGCGCGTGTGAATAGGGGAGCGGGGAACCAGCAAGTCTTTGCCTGCACGTCTTCATTAACTACTATATATACTAATTGCAAATCACATTATAATCGTGCGTCACAATTATTGCGAATCCCATGGCGTTTATACCAAATTCTGAGCAGTTTTAAGTCCACTTAAGAGATCTACATTACTTCCCAAAACAGGCCATTGGACATACTTCTACAAATTGTTGTATACCAAAGAAAGCGGTACACATTTTTCATGTTACGGCAAAATATTTCATAGAGAAGACGTAGCCTACGTTGATTACGAAGAACATTATGCTAGAAGATAAATATCATGAAACCAGCTTAGTTTTGGAATTAACACAGACAAACTGTTGTGCATTTTACTTTATTGTGTCACACTGAGAAGGCTTGGGTAGATTTTCAAAATCCAACAAAAACCTATGACTACCGAACTACCAAGTCTACTTAAGAACTACAAGCAAAAATTAACAAGACGTACAATACACTAACCAAAAACTACAATGGAATGCAAATACCAGAAGAGGAGCACAATCCTTTAACTCAGTTATGATTCTCCCTGAGATTTTCAGAGAATTAGGGTTTCAACTTTTTTGGCTATAATTATATTCCATAATCAATAGAGACATGCCAAGGAAAAACATACAATTGAAATAAATTATATTCAGAGGATTTTATCACAATAATTCTAATAATCATCCATGGCAACAGATGAATCCAGTTTTAATGACCAAATGGGTTTATCATTTGAATACATTTTAACTTCAGAAATTTTACAATCAGAGTCAATCATTTGGTTAGCTGCAATGAACACAACTGTTAGGAAAACTGCATAACATTCCTTGAGTAAAGGAGGTGAAGTACAATCATGTTTCCACTTATAATGCCTCTTATTCCATTAGATGCTTTATTCTGGAGTCCAAGGATGAAGTTCATTTTAAATTTGTATCGCCATACAAAATTTCATTTTTTCTCCAGTGCCAAAGAATAACAATTGAAACATCATCTATACAGAACAAGGTGTCAACTGAAATGTCTTTTTTTGCGGGTTTCAAAAATGTCAAATGCACAAATCATGTTTACTTTTTCATACACAAAATTCCAGGCTGAGTATGCGAAAGAACTGAAAACCACATTTTAAACAATCTGAGAATACTCAAACATGTGCTTTATTACATGTTTGTTTGTATTCAAAATTAATTTCAAGACAGGCAACCTACTGTCTAGACAGTTACCAAGGGAACTGCCGCAGAGAAATGGAAAAAAACAAGATCTGAATGATGACAATATTGAAGTGAGATTCAGGAAATGTTCCAGTGTTTACAAAGGACCACATTTTACCCATTTTACTTTCAATGCATCAAGGCCTGGAATACAATCAAGAAGTCTAATGTTTTTTCATAACAGTTTAACCATTTCACTCTAGTCCAAGAACAATAATTCAGTAAGCTTGTCCCCACTGTGGACAATTCACAGCTTTTCCACCTCCATATCAGTACTTGCAACAGTCTCAATGTCCATTGGTTCTCCGCAGTTATGGCCATTTGTTCCATTTGTCCATTGATTTCCAGCTGTATTACTGTTGTCCTGGGGTGCTGTGACACTGCTCTGCATTGATGCGTTTGAACCATTGCATGCATCTTTGCTTGTCATGTCGGCCACGTCTGGCATTTCCCCATTACTAAGCGCGAGGGACAGGTCACCAAAGTCGGTCCTGGGCTGCTTTTCAGCTCGCCTTTCTTCTGGAGGAGGGGAAACATCTCCAGGTCCTTCCCTTGCCGTTCTACGAGACTCTGTGTTTGGGGGACACTCTTGGGACTCCTTGGGACCATTAACTGGGGATTCAGTTACCTTTGTCTCCAGTTCGTTGTTGGGAAGCTCCTCCCCCATGCAACTGTTTGAGTCTTCAGCTGATTCTTCCTTTTTCTTCTCGTCTTGTTTTTCCTGGGCAGTTTCAGAATCAGTTGGATCTGGCACCAGTTCACTGGTACTATTAGATCTGCAGAGGCTCTCTTCTTCTTTTTTTTCATCTTTGTTCTTTTCAAGGCTGGATTCAGTGCTGCTAGATTGATCCATCTCTTCTTGGTCTAAGACCTGTTGATCATCTGACATTTTTGTTGGTGGCTCAAGGTCAACTGAAGATCCCTCAAGTAGCTTGCTTGAGTCTGCGCTTGCTTCATCCGCATTTAGCTTCTGGGTCTCTGTTGGGTTGCTGGGTGACTTCTCCTCCTTCCGAGCACTCACAGCTTCACCACCCTTGGCTAAGTTCCTTGAGCGTGCGTCCTCAGTTGTTGGGGTCTCTCGGTTGCTGGCTACCTCTGGTTTCTTCTCAGACTTCTTCTTAAGCCGTTTCTGAATCTTCCGAGGACACCAAACAAATTTGTCCTTGGGCTCATAGTGCTGAAAGGCGTACTTGATAAGTGTCCGTCTTTCTTTCTTATCCCGGACTGCAAACACAAAGTAGTCCAGCACACTACGCTTCACTGTGCTCAGGTTCTTCCGGACCAGCGTCTCTTCCAGGAAAAAATGTACTAGTGGGGCCTGATAGTGCTCAAACCCCAGTTCCCCCAGGCTCTTTAGGATACGAGTGATGCGAAGGTTGTTGTGCATGTTTCTGTAAAAAAAAAAAAAAAAAAAAAAAAAAAGGTATTACAAAAAACACATGCAATACGCACTTCATGAACTTCCCAGTCTTACTTTACAGTGGTGTCTTAATGGTTAGGGAATCGCACTTGTAATTGAAAGATTGCTGGTTCGAATCCCCAACCAGCAAGGCACCACTGAGATACCCTGAGCAGGCTACCGCCCCCAAGCACTGCTCCCCAGGGGCTGAATTAGCTGCCCCCTGCTATGTCCCCATGCCACATATGGGTAAAATGCAGAGGACACATTTCACTGTTGTGTGCTGTGGTGTGTCAACAATGACCACTGATCACTAAATTCTAAAAAAAAAACAATACACATAGTGTTTTATAGATGTGAGGAGGGGCTATATGTATATAAGAAAAATACAAGATAAATTGTACTGATCTGCTGATACACTTGTGCAGGAAATGGCATATTGTACAATAGAGGAAATACTACCAGCAGGCAGCAACACGGAGGCACTCTGCTGCACCTAAACCAACCACAGCTACAATCTAAAGACAACACAACTCAGACACCACAGAAGAGCCCAGTCCCCACTGACCGTTCAAGGTTTGCAAATCGCTCCCTCCAGTTATCGGCACGCTTGACCTCTCCAGTCTCCTTGTCATTTAGCTGTATGCCATAAAATCCCAGCATCAGTTCATAGGATTCCACGAGTCTCTTCTTTGCCTCTTCACTTTTTCTGAATTCCTGTGACAAACAACAATGACTCAGGTTGGCAGGACCCAGATGCTGTCATCATGCATTCTTACAAGAGATTTTCTTGGCTGATTTCGAATTCTTTTTTGCTAGTGTGACCAGCTTATACTGATTTTTGCCGATTTTCTTTCCAAGAACTATAATTGACAGCATATACAAACAAAAATCAGTTTTCCTTCAATGCAAAATTGTATTTTCATAATAAAAGAAATCGTTAAACTGCACAATTTCCCCAAAACTGCACTAAGTTACAGGATCTTCTCTTACTTAAGTCTCAAAATAGAAGTCCTCTGTAACTCTGTACACCCAACTTTATCTGACACATTTTACCTTACCAAACAAGAGCAGGTTCAACAGATTCAAATAACAAAACAAATGTCAGTTACTTATACCATTTTTCAGTATGTTTAAATTCACCAGATAAGATGACCTTTTTCTCTTTTTTCACTCATCTTAAAATAAAAGCCCGTAGGTTACAAACCACCAAATAAAACTGAAGTGTATTCTATTCTTCCAAATAATAATAGGTGCAGGGTAATAATATTAATTATAATTCTTACATCACTAGCTAGATTAAGATCAGGCTTTTTCATACCTTCATACTGCATGAACATTATAGTGCAGAGGGTTAAAGTTTTGCTAAATCATTTTTAACTTTTAAAAAAAACTTAGCTAGCTTTGCAATTGTAATGATTATTCCTTTTCAAGATTATCTAGTATATGATAAATAATCAGATCAAAGTTTACCTGCGATGTTTCACGTTTTCGTGGCGATTCCTCCAAAGTTTACTTTGGCTCTACATGTATTAAAAATTACAAGCTTTGTGTCATCTTCGCTCACAATGACGAACTTCCATACTAAGGACATGTTAGAACGCAACTGTGAGGCTATCGCCTGCGCTGCTGTACGTATGACGTATTGGCCGATTCTGGTTCCTGGCCAATCGATCGGTGGATCTCTAATGCTTACTTTAATGGGTCTCGCCATTAACATACCTGGATCTCCTTCTTGGTAAGTTCACTGGCCATATAGTTCACCCCAGGTTCTCGTAGAGGAAACAACCTAGCAGCATTTAATAAAGTTTTGAGTTATAATTTAAAGTGTTATTGTACAAGATCATACATTACAATTGTATAAAATGTATAAAAAGCAAAAAAATACCACTGAATGTAGGAATGGACTCTCTCCAGTCTTTTATAGTCTGTCTTCCATTCTTTGTGAAAAGCTTCTATTGAGACTTCTATGACAGGGAGTACAAAAACAAGTGAGATTTACACTTTTGAATACTGATGAATGAATGAACGAATGAATGAATGAATGAAAAAAATAACACTATTTGCTCAGGAAGCATACCATCAGGGGATGAAGTAATTTCATTTAGGTAAAATTTTAAATTATTCATTCTTTCCTCTTGGTTTTCTTCTTCCTGGATATTCTGTGGATAACAAGAAGGAATATGAGTGAATGAACATCATTCATCCATTCCCACGTTTCCTTGGCCCAGTTGAGAGGAACACTCCTTTTTTAGACTCACTGGATATCCCCGCCTGTAGTTCTGCATGTCTTTTGCAGCACGCAGGTTTCTTGAAGATGGATTTGACCACTGCAAAAGAAATGAAAACATAATTAGAAATAATCAGCTTGCAGTACCAAGCCATCTTGCAATCGTCGTTTTATTAATTTAATAATCACCTTCACTCAAGTGCCCTTATTTTTGCTGCCTAGAAACAAAACTACATCTGTTAACTGACTACTGTGACATTTTATCTCCACTGACACACTTTTTTTGCTACTTGATTTCAGTGCTGACCTCCCACAAGCGGTTCTAAGTGGATGAAAATTAACTGCATCGCTTATCCTTACCAGCACGGTTCCAGGTGTCTGGAACTCTCCATATAATCAAATTCTTTAAAGTACCAACAAAGTGTAGCCCAAACCGATTCAATTTACCCACTCTGATCTTCACACCACAGCTTTTAAAGATTTATTTGGTCATCTACCCATCCACAAAAACATATGTATTTAGCTTTTGTAGGTCCTTATAATGTGTGTTTTCAATCTCTAGTATAAAGGATGACTGCAAATTTTAAAAACTAAGACCTTATTTGGGACACAAAATTAGCCTGTTGTGATATTTGAATCATCTTAAATTAAATGTACCAGTGCACCTGGGTTAGTTTTAAATTTTATAATTAATATATCGATCAAAGCTTTTCTGCCATTAAAACGGGTTTTGGCCAATGAACTGCTTTGCATTGCATACTGCAGGTTACAATGCAGGTACCGCCGTTTATGATTGCGGTCCAAAATACATTTCAAATTTACCGGAATCCTTTATTGCTGCACATTTAAGATTACTTTTATATGGCAGGAGATGGAGAGCAGTTACGCAATATCAGGAAGTAGGTATAAAAAATACATAATGTGTTCGGTTATTGACTGCGCCAAAAAACAGTAGTTTAAACGACGTTAGACGAATGGGCAAACGACACTGTTTGTTTGTACCTAAACTATGCATTCAGTACAGGGCAAAACGAGACTTATTCGCACAACCACGCTTTCTGACTTTATGAAACTGAATTAATTCAGACAGCCATTTGTATAACGTAGTAGTCTGGTCCGCGGATTTCAGTGTGGACAGCATGTGCTCCCCTTTACCGCAAGATCCTGTCGCACAAACTGCTGGCCTGCCAGATAAAATGCGGGCCGCCATTCATTGCTTGATATTGAAGATAGACCCTTATAAAACGTAACCATTTTCGGCGGATCATGGTTACTTGTTTGAAGGAGCTTCTAGGGAAATCAATAGGAAGGAAAGGCGGCAGGTCCATTTATGGTAGCTTGGGACGCGGTCGTAATGTCTTACGGCACTAATTTAATGCAGTAATACGATAATGAACGAGGCAAAGTATTCCTAGGAAGGAATTTTAATCTGAAAATACTACAGAAATGGATGCGTGTGATATATTAGATGAACGTGCCCGCTGGCTTCATTGACTGAGATCAGCGCTTCCGGTCGCGCGCCACATCGTTTATGTCATTGATAAAAATTAACAAAACGCTAACGAGCTAGCCGGCTAAAATAGGCAATGAGGACCACCGCGTTTCACACGGCTCAATCAAAAGCCTGGTTTAAAACAAACACACTATCACTTCCAAGGTCATTTAGGCTTCTTTCCACACAGTTTGCCCTCTTAACTGCGTAATTGTAGCTAGAATGCTAGCATTAGCTAACAATGATGTAAGTGCCGTGAAATCGCACCATAAGGAAGGAAAGGACCAACGATCGAAACGTCCACCTAACGTTAATGAAAGCCAATATAACATACTGAGAGAAATACGTACAAAACCCCAGGATTTCTGCGTTTTATCCTGGCTGGATCTCCGCGTTACGTTTTCCACCAGGTCGTCTCCATCGCTTTCTGTGTCCCAGGTGGAGTCGTATTCACAAACTAAATCGTCCTCCATAACTGACTGGAAATCGTCGATCCAGCATGAGGGTAGACTCTAGGTACAAAGGGTGAAGCTCCAGGCGAGCCTTTGCGAGCTTTTGTTACGGATCGTACCGAACCATTAGGCCTCTCTGGCGCAGAACCCGACAGTGCCATTGCCTGACTGCAGGCACGGGTTCAACTGTTTCGAGGGGCCTGGAAACGAGCGGTCTGAGCTGCACATAACTGACGGGGACTCGAGTGAGTGAGTGCGTGTGTGTGTGTGTGTGTGTGTGTGTGTGTTGTGTTTTCTCATTCACACTATAAAGGAAAGTCACCGACGAGATTACTTTGCTGCTCTCATATACACGTCGCAAGGGAATTTTAATCTTTATTGTTATGGTTTCTATTGAAAATAACAACATTACCCACTTTTGACAGATGTGAATAATACTGATAAAGCCTTTGAATTTTCTACAAAACTACCTGTGATGTTTGTATCCCTGAACTTTATTTAACATATGGGGACTTGGACTGTAAAAAAATTTAAAAAAAAAAGAATAAATGCCTGAGGACCTTGTAGCTATGATTAGGGATCTATATTTTAAGGTGTCATGGAGTCTTTGAGGACCTTACAGAACAGCCATTCTGGAGAAATGTCTTGTTTCTCGATTTTCAGACCTGCTATGGCCTGTTCGTTATATTTCTGTAGCTTAATCCATAGCCTCCACTGAGCATTCAAGTCCTTGCCATAATCGCCAGACTACACCACATATTGCAAGAATCTGCTAAGGTCACAGATAGTCATTTGAAAGATAACATCTTTAAATTTTGTATCCAAATAATTATTTTTAATGCTTGCCAACTTACATGTTGTATAATTCCAATAACTGTAAAAGTTTGCAGTAGGTGACTACTTATTTGAGTGTTTGTTAGATCTAGCTATTTTGTATATGTGACTATTAATATGAGTTGCCTCAGTACAGTAATCTTGTTGCTGTGAAAATGTTGATAAAGGATTTGATAAACAACATTAAATATTAAAGAAATGGACAATACTACTATACTACTGTTACTGTCATTAATATTGATCTATGCATCCATCTATGCATTTTAATAAATGCTTATACCTGTACAATGTAGCATGGGACCTGGTCCAAGAAGCACAGGACACAAACCGGACTACATTCTGGACTGGTTCCCAGTCCATCTCACATCACAAAAATCATGCATTAAGGGCAGTTTAGGAATACCCGTATATCTAAGCCTCACATTTTTAGACTGTGAATTACAAACAAGACACGTTTGGTTATACTATGTTTTATGTTATGTATACATGATTTTTTTAGCCTGTTTAAATAAGGAAGCGTTAAATAATAATTACAGATCAAATAAGAATCTTAAAGACAGGATGGACTAAGCAATTAACTTCCTTCTTAATGCGACAGGAGCTTCATGATGAAATAGTATTATATTTTTCTTGTTTTTGATAAAAAAAAAAATAACTGCACAAATATAACCATTTATTGACCTGGATATCTTTCTGCCTGTAATGTTCATTGGCAACTTTGTCACTGCAATAAATACAACAGCCAGAATGACAATGCCCATCTTTCATGTATGTTAAATTTCTAGCCTCGTTCCTCAAAGCATTCACTCACCTGCCACCTTGTTGGGACGACTATTCACATACTGGGTAGGATCCCCATTTGCTCTCAGGAGAAGTAGAAAGTTCAGGTCCAGAGAATACAAATACAGACCAAGATTTTGTTTCAACCAACCAGTTGAGTACTGAATGTGAATGTGACTCTTTATACTACTGGATTCAGATCTGGTGACTGTGAGGCCATTAAAGTACCCTGAAATCATTGCTATATTTAAGTACCCAGTTAAATATGAGTTGTGCTTTGTGACATGGTGCATTATGCTGCTGGAAGTAGACATTAGAAGATGGGTAAATTGTGACCATAAAGGGATTCATATGTACTTAGTCAGTCTTAGGGGCCTGATGTGTGCCAAGAAAACATCTCCCACATCATTACACCTCCAGCAGCCTGAACTGTTGACATAAGGCAGCTTAGGTCTATGGATTCATGCTGTTTATGCTAAATTTTGACCATACCATCTGCATGTTGCAGCAGAATTTTAAATGCATCAGACCAGAATGTTTTTCTAGTCTTCAGCTTCCCAATTTCGGTGAGCCTGTTCCTAGTTGACAGGTGTGGAACCCAGTATGGTTTCTGCTGTTGTAGCCCATCCACCTAAAGGTTTGACGTGTTGGCCACCACTATTGTAAAGAGTGGTTATTTGGGTCACTATAGACTTCTTTTCAGTTTGAACTAATCTCCTCTGACCACTTTCATCATTTAGGTGTTTCCACCCACAAAACTGCCACTCACTGGACATTTTTTTATTTTTTCAACCATTCTGTGCAACCTTGAGATTGTTGTGTGAAAATCCCAGGAGATCAGCAGTTTCTAAAATTCTCAACCCACCTCATCTGGCACCAACAACCATGTCACGGTTACATTCTGGTTTTTGATCTGACCATTATCTGAAGCTCCTCACCCATTTTGGCATGATCTTATCCTAGAAAGTAGAGGGCATTAGGCAAGTGACGGCCAGGATGGGATGTCATTCCAACACACGTCAAAGCACCAGTTCACAAGCTAGATTTTGAATTGTGGAGAAAAAACTGTGGAAACTGGATGTTCTTTATGCTTACTAAATATTTCCTTTGTTATTGACGTGGCTCATTATTTTTATTGTTACATGCCTTACATACACCATATTAACAAATGAATATATCCATGGAAAGAATTAAGAGACAAGAGCACAATTATTTGATTTACTCATTTCTCAATGTATGGGTGTACATCTGTGAATGTAATATATATATCACTTATGCTGAAATATCACTATTGGCATGTCCTTTATCTTCACTTGGGAGTAAGTATACTTCAGTTCTGCTCTGTTGCTGAACCTCAGAAGCAAAGCTGTGGCAGACAGTGAGTCAGGGGTCTTGGGAAGGGTGGTGCAAAATATGACCCCGTTGTGAGACCCTTGAGTACTCTGCCGCTCTGTGAACATGTGAGATGGTTGTCACGCAGCCCTGTCTGGCCATTTCTCTCCATTAATGGTTTATCTAAACCTTCTAAAATGATTTTGGAGGAATTTTGTTTTTCAATACTCTAAACTTTTTCAGAGCTCTAAATTAGTTGACTTTGTGTTATGTACTAGCATTCCAAATTGCACAACCTATTATAATTTGTATAAAAGGCTACATATCTGACTAGAGTGCCAGATTGAAAACAGAGCTTGTCTATTTGTTCTGTGCTGTTTATGAACACACCATTTGTGTGAGCACCAAATGTGCCAAATCAAATTTCAAATTAAACTACCAAATTAAATGAGGATTCTGATTTTAAAAAGACTCAATAAGCACAAAAGGGCTTATAACTGTCTGTGAGCAGTACACTGGTTTTCCAGGAATAAAACGGGAGTGATCTTAATACCACTAACAAAAGCTTTGGGCAGAGGCAAACATCAGCTTTAGTCTAAGATGAGCTGCTGTAATGTTCATAACCTCCTGTCACTAGGTAAGGGCCAGACTATAGATGGGGCTTACAGAGGAAAGGGTCTGCTTGACACAAATAGGCATTTTTGCTGTTCAGAGCTTCACTTTGATGTTGCTCTATATAGAGCAGTAATCTGATTTGTGATGTCTAATGATTTCTTTATATGTAAAATTGAATGTTATAGTAGTAAAGCAGTTTGATGCACTGAGAGTTAAATTCAAAGACTGAAAGCATTTATGCTCATTTGCTGCAACCAGGTCTTCCGTCCTAGTGGCCAAACTGTGAAGCGTAAGTCTTTTGTTTTTAACTGTTTTTTTTCTATGCTGCAAAAAGAGACAAACATCACATCCTGTCATATGCTATGCATCCATTACCATGGAAACAGCAACCCTACGCAGTGGATTATGTGTCGCTTTCGCAGCAATGTGTTGAATTTTGTTTTCTTTCTACAAGTAAAGTTATATCACCGGTGGGATGTGAATCTGTTTGTTTTAAAACGCCATTTAAAATGTTTAGAAAACCACACATTAGCATTTTTAGAATGTTTTTAACAAGGCACATAGTGCTTCTCATGTGACGGTTCATTTCTCCACAGAGACTGCTGGGAAAGTTTTACACTGAGCTTCTGTGGTGTTCTAGGTTGCTAACTGGCTCTCTGTTGATGCTCAGTGGCCGCTCATTCATGTCGAGTTGTTGCAGGTATAATTCCTGTTGTTTCAGGCAGTGATGTCTTAGTGCCCCAACCCCGTGCTGCTATTTCTGTCTCAGTTACTGTGGAAACTGCAGGGATGCACCAGCTCCCTGCATTTGGACTCCCCCTATTGTTTCTGTTAAAAAGTTTATTTAACCTATAGGAAAGTGTGTTTTCAAAAAGAGGCACTGCGGATTTTAGGCTTCGTATTGAAAAAAACTATAAGATGGTGAATATTTCTTTATTTCTACACTCATTTACTTACAAATGACACTGTTTCATACACAAATTAGATGGAATCATGCTTTCCATACATATTTTCATTCTGGAATCTCTGCACTAGAATTCCTTTATGAAAGCTCGCATAAATATACCTTCACTGCTCAATCATGAATTCATAACTTTTGAACACATGATTTCATATAGTTATATGCAATTCATTTATGACAGATATTCATGCATATAATGCATATATTGATGCAACATCGGCTTTCTATGCAGCTATGCAATAATTTGCAGTACTTATTGTATTTAAAATTTCTTTCATAGTTCTTTCTTGATTAGTACTTGTATTTATTTTTTTTAACTGTAACTTTTTTTCTATAAATAAGTGTTTCTACTAACTTGACTCTGAGTGCTCCTTACAAGAATTCCAATTTGCCTGGAATGTTGGTTTTATGCAGAAATGGCAAATAAAAATCTCGTATCTCGTGACTCTTACTGACCGCTATTCTTAAATCTCCATTGTGTCTGATCATTTTGTCCCAAGAAGGCAGTGTTGGACATGTCATCCTAATAGTAAAAACCTTGTTTTTGACATAAAGCACTTTTTAGACTCTTCAACTATTCATGGTTGTATTCTGCCTAGAAATACTGCATAATTTGTACTGCAGGATTGCAGAAAGTTCCAGGTTTTTCCTCTGCAGCGGTGTGAAAGATGCCAGAGTCTTAAAACGTCCAACACAGACAGGAAGGTGTAATGAGGACAGCAGAGC